ATTCTTGCAGAATTAGGAGAATTGGGAACAAAAATAAACATATTGAAAAAACAAAGCAGAAGTATTTAGGAAATATAAAAAAATATGCGATCTTATGATGGATGTGTAAAAAGTTAAAACATTTAGGCGGCCTGATGCGGCTGCCCCTAGATTTGGCCGCCCGCGTGCGGGGCACGCGCTGCACACCTGCTAGGATCGGCCCTGATTAACCCCTAATTATTGCAAGTCACCTCGGACGAGCAAAGTTCTCTTGTAAGTTCCTGTTTTTGGCTCTCTCTCTCACTCTCGCCGGGCTCCAACAGGATATGCACATGCAGGCGCATGTGCATATCGTTGTGTTTTCATCTCGACGGAAAATTCCCTGGCTGCTTGTGCGAGTAGTGATAAATGGATAAATAATCGCTTTGTGGATTTGTCTGCATGAACCGGATTAAGCAAGTAAGACTATTACAATTTTTCTAACAGTCGAACAATAAATACTGATTAGTGATTCGCTTGAAAATGCACTATAATTTAATGCAGAAAATTGGTTTCACACGTGATATTAACATGTGTACATTTGTATATAGAAACTGAGCATAGCATATATAAAGGTAAAGACTTTTCTTGCACATATTGTTTACAGACTTCCGCAGAAAAGTGCTCAATTTGTTAACTCCCAATAAATCAAAGAACTTTCAAGGATCAAATAAATATTTTGTGACTACAGTGAACTGATTATAGTTGACGAATTATTTATGTTGTGCTATCGTGCATTTCATTAGTTAATTTGTGTTTTCGTTCACTTAACATTTAACCATAAATGATATTATTATCATTATCAGATTTCACTACCTTTTATAAATCAAGATACTTACTTACTTTAGATTAGTCGCACATACCAAAATTGCATCCTCAGAATGTACTGGGAATCTTCTTTTTTCAGAAAGAATGTGCCTAGAATGTTCGCCAAAACCATTGCGAATGTTCTGAGAAAATATTGCAGAAATACTGTTTGCAATACCCAAGAACTTCCTGGGAAATCCTTTAGGATATTCCTAGAATAAACTTATGAGATTCTCAGTACATCCTGAAAAGAATATTCTTGTTTGATTCTAAAAATATGCTTGGAATTTATATTACTTACATTCAAAGAATTTTTCTGTAATATTATAGTTATGTTTTCAAAAAAATATTATACCAATATGCATGAAATATTCTTAGAATATACTTATAACATTCCTAATATACATCCTAGACATAACCTTGTTTGATTCTAAGGATATACTTGGAATGTTAATTTTCGCATCCAAAGAATGCTCCTTTAACATTATAGGTAGGTAATGCTTTATAGGAAATTTAATATATATTAAAAGGTAATTGTTGTATGCATAATTTTTATTCTCATAACATTCATTATAATTTTAAATCACACTTAATTACTGATAATCACAGAAAAATCCCCAAAAATCAAGATAAATCTCATGTAAATGAATCTACAGGGTGTCTGGTTACAATTTGATACCCCACCTTGCAGCCTTCACCTTTATGGGTAGTTAATAGGTAGGTATGAATGCAAAAGTTGTTCACAATTTTAGCTGAATTTTTCGAATTCATCGTCAGAAAGAATTTTGTCAGAAATTTGAATTTTGCGTACTTTCAAATTTCTTCAAATGGAATGCCCTGTATTTGGTTATATAAATGTACCTTAAGAGCACGATTTTCCAATTCCAAAAATATATTCTTTATCTATAAATTGTTGAGCCATCTTCGACATTTGGTTTTAAAAATTGTAAAAATATTTACTATCCTACTGATTTCAATTTTGTGAACCATTCTACCTACCTGTTAAGGTAAAACCTGCAGGTACACGGTGGTAAGTTATAAAATACCACCACCTGTAACTTTTTTATTTCTAGTCGTACATAAAAAAGTTACAGATGGTGGTACTTTATAACTTGACACCCGGTACTTGGTTTCCCTGATAGTATTCTTGAAATTTTTATGGCCGTTTGCACCGACCATTTTAAAGAAGCCTCAACGATAAGAATATTAGGGGTTAAAATTTTTCAGTTTCATTATAAAATTTCAAACGGCCCTTATGGCCACAGACGACCCTTAATCAAAAAAGTCTATAGATAAACATTGTAGATCAAATAATGCTACACATCTTTTATTTGAAACATTTTTTGGTAAAATCAATAGGTACCAAGTAATCGCCAATAGCGCACTTTCAACCCCTATAGCGCAAAACGCCAGAGGGGTGAATATTTGATATTTTCGGTTTTATGATCACCCACCCGCCTCCTATCATCCCTGAAAAGTTCATTTGGATAGGATTTTTTTTTTTTGCAATGCATGTATTTTTCGACTATTTTCCTAGACTATATTCATATTTGTGAACAAAACAAGGTGCAACTTTTTTCAACAGAAACCAAATAAAAACAATTTAACTCAAAATTATTATGTACAAATAAACACGGGCCGCCGGGTAATAGTAAACAAAACAAGGTGCAACATATTCTTTTAAACAGAAACCAAATAAACTCTCCAAATAAACAAAATTAAACTCAAAATTATTACACCAAAACCAGAAAAATAAAAATAGGCCGACGGCCGACCAAGTGGCAAATGTCACAGAAGAGCGCATTTGGCATGAAATTTAACTTTTTTTTATAGAGGCACTTGAAATTCTTAATTAGTTTAGGTGTTAATTTTTTTTAACCCACCATAAATCCTATCAAAGGGCCACTAGATCAATCGTTTGGTAAGTGTTTGATAAAAAAAAATAACCTATACAATAATAATGTCATATTGACATCGACATATTCTAAGGTATTTGTTAATTAACAAAGACTTAGCAAGCGATGGATCTAGCCGCATAAATCTAATAAATTAGTGAAAGTCTTGGTACTAAGGAGTGAACTGCCCCTCAGGAGGACCATCCTCAGCAGAACCATCCTCAGTGGTGGGGGTTTTGGCCTTTGAGGATCTTTCTTTAAATTTGACCAACCAAAGCTTGATAAATGTTTCTCTGTCTCAGAGGCAGCTTGAAATTGTGTCTTTATAGCATCTGAAAATAATATAAAAAGGCAATGCTTTGAAATAGCTTTTTTTGTAACGAGTACCTAAAATAAGGGTTTTTAGAGCAAAATTTGCTGTTTTTGGACGAAAAACTTAATTTAGGTACGTGATAAGAAACAATATTACTCGTTTGTTGACACTATCATATTTTTTTAAGTGTTTTCCATTGTTACCCTATTGTTTAAATGTGATCAACATATTGAAAAAGATGTTACATTAGAAAAAGAAACAAAATACTGAAAGGGTAAATACTCAACTTACCTAAAATACAGCGGGAAAGGCTTAATGTACGGCCACACAGAATGCGATTGAAGCGGCATTAAAATGCGTTTTGGCGTGTACTTCATATGCTTTTTATGCGTTTGAAGATTTTCTTGTGATTTGTGTCCAAAGAAGAAAAGAAGCTGCGTGTTGCGTGTTTGCACTATGCCGTTGCTTTAAATATGTCGACGCGTGATAATAAGGTTGTACGAATACGAAAGCTATTGCGTACCGAGAACATAAATCTTAAATTAGATTATGGTGATGAGACTCTCTAGCTGGGTCCATGAACCAACAGAGAACCACAGAGGGTGAATTTCATACTTTTTTCTCCAGTTGTGGCAACATCCTGATCAATTTTTTGAATACTATAGAATGACTACTGAAACCTTTGACTTGATATTGAATAGACATTTTAAATGCCTAAATGAAAGAAAACTAGGCATAAATCGTTAAAGAACGCAAGCTTAATGCGGTCAAAAAACAAACAGATTTGCTTTCATTTGCGATAAAAATTCTTTTTCGTCTATCGCTCAAGAAGCGCAAAATACAAAAAGCGTCTTGTCGGGCCACTCGCTATATATTACATTATTTTAATTCTAGTCGCGAAAGATGTTCCAAACGCTTTAGTCGCCAAGCGCGTTTATGCCGCTTTGAACGCGTTCTATGTGGCCGTACACTTAGCTTTTTGATGGCTGCCTTTTTTTAAGCCCATCCCAAGAATATTGCACAGCCACCAGATCGGAAATTGTTCTGTACAGCAACTTTCTAGTAGCCTGTGCGTAGGAATGCCCACCTACTCGGAGAAGTTCACTTATCTAGAAAGAATAATAAATAGTTGAAACTAAATTACAATTTACAGCAATAACGTAATTAATATTCAATTGAGCATATTGCATGAGTCCAATCAGACGTGTTTGGCTAAGTTTGTTTTGATACAAGTTTCATATTACATAAGTGCGAAGAAAAACTCACAAGCGTTTTGAAGTTTATTTTAAGATGCACGATTTTATTGATAAATCTTGCCAACATTTCAATGCTTGGTTAGCATCTTTCTCATTTAAATAGTCATCATCCCTAGTAGTTAATCCTTCAGAGACTGTGAACTAAATATTATGAAATATTTACATACACTGTGTCCGTAAAGTAACGGATAAATTCATATATATATATATATTTTTTTTTTTGGAAAAACGCTCGAACACGTCGATCTTAATTTTTGTGGCGCTTTTTTCAAACTAATTTGTATTTATACAAGGTGACCCAAAAACGAGATATTGCATGACACTTCAATTTTTTAAATGGAATATCCTGCATATTTTGATGAATATCGTTGAGCTTTATTGATATTTATCAAAATATACAGGGCATTCCATTTTGAAATTTGAAGTGTCACGTGATATTTCTTTTTTGGGCAATCTTGTATAAATACAAATTAGTTTAAAAACAGCTTCACCTAAAATTAGGATTGACGTGTCCGAGCTTTTTTCCAAAAAAAATATGCTTAAATTTCAAATGAATTTATCCTTTACTTTACAGACACACTGTATATTGATGTATGATGTAATATGGTAATTGATAAATCAAAGTAAATCTAATATTGTGTTGGGTTCAAAAAATAATTTGTTTTTATCAAAATAATTGTTCAGTAAAAATTAAAAATCAATAAAGAAATTCTAATTTACCATAGTTTTGTGATTGTTTTCCACCTTCAGCCACTCTTCAATTTCCAGCAGTTCCTCTATACTTGTCACTGGTAATTTCCTTATGAAGGCACTTTCTTTTTCAGTGTTTCCACTTGAAAAAGTATCTTGTGCCTTCATAATGGTAGACACAATTTCTATAAGTGTATTCAGTTTTAAATGGAGATGGGCTAGCTCATTTAAAACCAACTTTTTGAATCCTGGAAATATAAAAACTTTAGAATATGTATTGTTAAAATCGGTAAAATCATTAATTATTTTATATCATAGAAAACAGTTAAAAAAGGAAGGCAAAAAGTACAAACCCTCGTGAAACAAACAGTAGATGAAGTCTCTAAAGTCTAAAAACATAAAAATAGAAAGAAGACTCACTGTCATCATTCAGAATCGCCTGGTTTTCAACAGTACCTGCAAACAAACTAATTATTTCAACTCGATTCAAGTGAAAATAAAGTATTACCTGACTGAACCTCACGGACAGATGTAAATGATGTGTTTATTCTTGATGTGGAAGGCTGGTCTATCACACATGTATTTGGTCCTTCCCTTACACCTTACACTAGTTTCGATTCTTGAACCTAAGTAAATATACAGTTTAGAAAATTAGAAAAAAAATAGAAGACTTTATGAGAGTTATGAAATGAGAGATGAATCTAATCATGGTAATATAAGAAAGTAATCTTAATCGACAGTATGTCATGTGTCCATGCGGATGATGTCCTCTCTGCGTTTTCTGGAATATACCCATATGAAATCACTCATCAGTACTTAAATATTTTATCAAAAAGTCAATTGTTGACTGGTAACCCTTTATAGATTATTTTACATCTCAATACATGAAAATAATAATCAGTACTAATAACCTAAGGACATTATGATAATTATTGTGTTCAAAAAATTTTATAACACATTTGGAAAGCTTGTTCCTTGGAAACAGACCAAAGCTGTAGGCGGAGGTTGACCTGACAGAAAGGAAAACAACCCATGGGATGTGTTTTCAGTATAATGTTGAAATGATTGGGTGATTTGTCATATGAGAAAAAATAACAAAACTCAATTGGCTGTGATTACTGGCAAAAATTTTCAATTCAGGCTGAGTTCGTTTAATACGTCCCTAATGAGAGGATTACAGATTTTGGTCAGGTGATTACAGAGTCCGGGAAATACTGCATATACTGCTATCTCCTATCTTGGTCTGACAAACCAAAATAATGTAAGAATGTTTTTTTTTTTAAACATTTTTTGTCAAATATTATATTTTTTGACAAAGATGATAACGAAACCCAGCGTATTGTAGAAGAAAAAATTGAAGATTTTGTTGAAGATTTAGTTCCTAGATTTACCCACATGCAGTTCAAAAGATACGTATTTTCATTTAACTTTGGAATTATTGATTATTATTAAGACTTTTTAGACAAGTGTGATGAGAAAAAATCAGCCCTAACAAAAATTTTTCGGCTCCTTGCGTTAATTGCGTTAAAATTACCGAGTGCTCGGTTGGAAGGATATTTCTGTAATAAAGGAACTCAGCCTCAATTAGGCATACACTGATTTGGAAAACAAATTGAAGCTTGGTATAGACATTTTTGATTACAAAGGCCTCTCTGATGGAAGGAAATACTACTTACTTTTCAGACTTTGTTCGAAAAACCTATTTGTCCCAGACAGTGAAGCAGCTGAAACAAAAACAATATTACAATAACAAAACTTAAAGGAATATAACAAAAATTAAAAATAATTAAATAAATTCTGTAGTTGACAAGGTAAAGTCAAAAAAACGTACCATGATTAGTAGTTGCTGGTGAAAAACTGTGAGAGCGTCTTTGCGAATTGGTTGGTTGGGTATTTGTCCTCTTAGGAGAAAAGCTCCTTGATCGATTACATAAAGAAGCTAAAATAAAAACCGTCATAATTAAATTTAAAATAAAAAATTCTATACACCTACCCCTTGACCTACCCTCATCATTAGATGATGATGAACCTTCCTGTTGAGGCATGGGCTTGTTGAAATCTATAAGAGAAACTAGTTGTGAACCAGATGTTTGAGGTGAGCTCATCTACATAGCTACACACCTAGGTAGGGCGCTTCCTTTTATTCATTGATGTATCCGTTTGAACCCACCATTTAGAGACAGCCATTCCGATTTTCTATGAACTAGATAAAGATAGACTGGTCATCGACGGATTCATCGGAATAAGAAAAAGCGCCTATACTTAAATCCTAGATGCATGTCACGTTGTAATGAGATACAGTCAATTGTTTTGACTATATCAATTGTATTTATTATCTAGTTACCTAAACTAGGACATAGCGTACAAAAAACAATTCTATGAGATGCATCCAGAATGTAAAATATGTTACTAAGCCATACTTATTTGCAGCCTTTTAAAGCTCGGATATATATTTTGGTCATCAGAGCTGTGTCTGGAGCTGCTAGGCGAGCTAAACTTAGGGTTCCGCTTTCTCATTCTTTTTTTGCGAGTCTTGGCATTCTCCATATTTGAAGTTAGTTCATCCGTATTCTGGGCTTTTTTAGACTTCCTCATGGCTGTTTCAAAATTGTCTAAAAATTAATATAGCTTTATAAATTTCTCTTTTTAATACATACATATAAAGCTGGTGGAAGAATTAAGAACCTACCATAGGTCCCTAAGAGGACAACATCCCATAAACCCCAATTGGGCGATGGTTCTACTCTTGCCTCAATCATTCCACGGATTTTATTACTGTTCACCGATTTTGGAGGCCAGTAGCTCTGTGACGTATTTTTTAAATATCTACCACGTCTGTGGTATAGCAGCTACTGCCTTCTCATTAGTGAAATTCACCACATGCCACATTTTGGTGTAACTGCTAAAAAAAAGTTCATGAGCACAGCGTAACACTCCGAATTTTGACTCTTTCCTATGTGAAATATCTTTCCCATTTTAGACTGTGAGATAGGGGCTGTTTAGTGGAGTCTTTTTTTTTTGTCTGGCATTTTGAGGGCTGAATGTGGCTTCTAAGCTGATGAGAATATGGGTGATTTTAATGCCGGCCTCCCGTTCGAAAATTTGCAGAAGAAAAAAATTTATTTACATGAAGAATTTTTTTTTAACGGTCTCAAATTTTCTGGCTTTCAAATAAAAGATTGACATTGATAAATAATTCACCCATGAAAAATATCAGATGCTTTTCAACAGCTGAAAAAAGGGGATGGGTGTCAACTTCCAAGAGAAAAGAAAAGAACCTTCCGCGTTTAATTTTTGTCTGGCAATCGAGAGAATGCAAGGTTTTGTTGTGAAAATAACGCTGAAAAATCGCCAGACGGTAATCGCAGTTCAAAATCGAGTTTTCCGGCGAAACATTCTGTGGACATTTCGAACAGGAGGCAGGCATTAAAACCATCTATATTCTCATCAGCTAACTAGTCACATTCATCCCTCAAAATGCCAGACAAAAAAAAATGACTAAACTGGCACTATCTCAGGGTCTATTTGTTACTTTGGCAACATAATATGTTCCAGTGTAAAACTAAATTTGAGAAATAGCTATTTTCCTAACGAGTGCGGGAAGAGAAATTTCCGGCACGAGGGTGCGAAGCGCCCGAGTGCCGGAAATTTCTTCCCGCAAGAGTTAGGAACTCTGTTTTTTCTACGAGCATACTAAAGTTGATGTTCCGAAGAGTTTAATTTAAATAAAATGCGATTATGCAGAAGGTAGAATTAAAAATGTATTAAAAATTTATAAAAAAGTAAAGGTACAGGTATAGGTGTATCAGAATACAAACAATTCCATGTCACAATGATTATTTCAAACTCTTCCCGCACCGGTGCGGGAAAAAAGTCTTCCCGCACAGCAATTCGTGCGAAAAGAGCCATTTCCCGCACGATTTGCTGTGCGGGAAAACTTTCTTCCCGCACTCAGTGCGGGAAGAGTTTAAAATAATCATTGTGACATGAAATTGTTTGTATTGTTGATACACCTATACCTGTACCTTTTTATAAATACCTTTTTTACTACTAACCTGAGAAGTAGTCATTATTCAATCTATTTTTCTGGGAAAAAATTGAATTTCTCTCCCTAGGTTAATAATGAAAAAATACCTAGGTCAATAATGAAAATGACGTCATGACGCAAGGATATTGCCCTAACGCTACAGGTTTCTATTTGTTTAATTTCAACTTTAAACTGTCATTTAAAAAAAAAAACAGGTTCCTGTATGTATATCATAGGAATTTACTATAAGCTGTTGAGAGAGGGCAGGCCTTTCGACAAGAAAAAATAATTTAAGCACAGATTTCAAACCTAGTTTTTATTTTCTACTAGCAGTAGTAAAAAAAAATCTATATATTCCTCGGTAGAGAAAGTCATTATATACCTTACGCATTATAAACCTCGGCGCTTTGTGCCTCGGTTTATAATGACCAACTTCTCTACCTAGGTATATAATGTACTATTTAATACATTTTTAATTCTACCTTCTGCATAATCGCATTTTATTTAAATTAAACTCTTCGTAACATCAGCTTTAGTATGCTCGTAGAAAAAATATAGTTCCTAACTCTTGCGGAAAATAGCTATTTTCTACTGGTAATTTCAGAACGCCAACAGCAGTAAGTAGCTATTCAATTTGTTCTCATATTATTTTTATTTAAGTAATAGTTAATTTTTCGAATAAGTGCAATACGTCATTGGCTTTTAGGACACCAGAAGCTTATAAAATCCAAAATAAAAAATAAGGGTCCATATTTAAAAAAATGAAGTTGATGGTGGACCAAAGACGAAACGTCAGATATTAAATTTGATACTAGTAACTTGTAGGGGAGGAAAAGTTGATAATATGATGGATTAATAAAGTTAAAAAAAAATAAAAACAATTTTGCAAAATTTCGTTATTTTCTAGATATCTCCGGAAGTATTTGGAATATCCTAAATATCAAAGCGGCATTTTGTTAAGCATCAAATTACGCAACTTTTCCCCAATTTAACCAAACCTGTATCTCTCACCGTTTCCAAGATCCCATTGATTTGGCTCGAATTTTAAATACCCTGTGCTCAGGGGCGCCCGCAGAAAAATATATAGGGGGGGGGTCAAAATCAATTGAACAAATTTTTTATGCGTAAAAAAGGGCACTTCAGTCAGTCTAAATAATTATCATAAATAAATATTTATATAAAAAAACTTAAAACATTCTTTCTATCTAAAAAATCACCAATTCGGAGATACTTAGGTATACAGAGTGACAATTTGGAAAATCAAAAAAATTGTCCATATTTCTCAAAGAGACTCGATTTTTAAACCATAAAAGAAAGATAAAAATTACCTACATACATAGAGGATGACATTAAAAACGAAATAGAAAAATCAGATATTGAATCGATAGATCCAAATAAAGGAATATTTATAAGGGAAAAAGAATATTCGAGTGACATCAATTTATCAAGACAAGATGTTATTAGGAAGTTGCAATGCTACATTTAAAACCAAATCAAATTTGAAACATCATTTAATAACACATTTGGATATTTGTCCTTTCGAATGTGACACTTAAAAAGCGGAAAAAAATGTGTTACAGCGTCACATATCAACACTCTCGGATATTTCTTCTTTTAAATGTGACACTGGTAAGAAAAAATTTAAAGGAAAAGGTGATTAGAACGCATACATATTAACACACTCGGATGAGAAGAATTTTAAATGCAACATATTATGCAATGCAAAATTTAAAGAAAAATGTACCTAAATTAGTAAAATTTAAACAAAAAGGTAATTTGAAAAGTCACATATTTATCCTTTTAAATGCGACACATGCAATGCAGAATTTGAAAAGCCACATATTAACACACTCGGATGAGAAGAATTTTAAATGTAACATTTGCAATACAAAATTTAAAACAGAAGGCGATTTGAAGGAACACATATTGATACACTTGGATATTTAATTTTTTTGAATGGGACATTTGTAAATCAAAATTTAAGCGGAAACGCGATTTGAAGATACACAAACTAACACATTCGGGTATTTATCCATTTGAATGTGACACTTGCAAGGCAAAATTTAAACAAAAAGGTAATTTACAAAGGCACATCTCAACACACTCGGATATTTATCCTTTTGAATGTGACACTTGCAAATCATAATTTAAACGGAAAGCCGATTTAAAGATTCACAAACTAACACATTCGGATATTTATCCATTTTAATGTGACACTTGCAATGCAAAATTTAAGCAAAAACATAATTTGAGAAGCCACATATTAACACACAGATTGTCAATTATTTGATTCACTTAATACTGACATGTGTTTCGCTCCGGGATCCTTGAATTTGGCCACAAAATTCACCTGTTCCGGAATAAGGAAAAGGGTGACAATTTTACGATAGTTGGACTCGGCCCAATCGGTTTTCGGGTAGGTGGATATTTTATGACCCATCGGCCATCAGTATCAATATGCAAATCGGTACACTGAGATATAGATATTAAATCAACTTATTTACTTCTTATAAATAGCTAAAATCTCAGGCATGGTGGAGGAAGATCCAAAACTAAGGCTTAAGCAATGAATATTAAAAAAAAAAGATTCAGAAATCGGTAAATCGTTACATAATTGTTTCGGAATGATGTTTTTGGAGAATCAAGAAGTTAGCGATTTCTTTGTTTTTAAGTTGTTAGCTAATCAGCCGAATCACGAAGTTCTGGTTAAATATTCATATTATCTCATTGACACATGGCACATGCCTGGATAGACCTGAATAAGACAACAAATGCCATCAAAGTACATATTTACACTTTTTTACATTTATTAACTCATATGCAATGCGAAATCTGTCAACATAATAAGGTAAGTTTTATGGGCAGTAAAGCCTGTTTTTTTTTTTTAAGATAATTCCCCAAGTCAAAAATTTAGTAACTATGTTGGCAACACAAGCCTTTTCTACATAAAAAATTTGAAAGCATTGACAATTTTACATTGTATTGCCAACATCATGTCATTTTGACTTCTATCTTTAAAAAAAAAATACACTTTAGGTTGGATTTCATGATTTGGCCGAATTCAAAGGTAGGATTACTGCAGCTACCTGGTTTGTGGCCGAATTCAAGTATACCCGTTTCGCTCATATGAGCATCATCGGACCTACAAAATAATATAGGTATGTAGAAAAATTGTTACGGGTGGCTAGCCCCCCAGAAAAACGGGGCGGGGTTTAGGCAATAAACACATTTGGTTTCCTCTGTGTATTTGAGACTTCTATGGCAGAATTCTTTTTAGTAGAAATAGTCAAAATTAATAGTTTTCAAAAGAGCTTACTATTAAACATTAATATCTCAAAAACTAATCGTACGATTTAGATTTTGCTATAAGACTGTAAAGGGAAATCAACGAACTATCCAACGATGTGCAGCACAAGGTAAGTTAGTTTTGAAAAAAAAGTAAGTTATGGAAGCTATCCCCTAAGAGGTTAGGCGGGTTGCCTCATTTTAGTTCCTCGTCCAATCCCTCAATTCCCCCGATACGTATATAGTGCATTGGTGGTTGCGTTCCGTTTTCCTATTCCGATATACATTCACGTTTTCTATTTTAATAAAAAAATTTAAAAAAAGTCGCAAATCGGTCCGCGATCATAGTTCAACTACAAATCTACTATCAAAACAGAAGTTTTAATATTTTTTATTCAAGTAAAATAATTAAAATTTAAGGAATTTTCAGGGGGGGTCCAGTGACCCCCCCTGACCCTCTCTGTGGGCGCCCTTGCCTGTGCTGTAAAATTG